AAACACTTAATATCAAGAAGAGAAAACGATCATCCAACTTCACGCTATTTTGGGTAACATGTATTTTTATTGACCAACCTGTTATCTCATTATGATTTATTATACAATAATACACATCTAATTTACTCAGGTTTATGATTAGGTGGTCAGCCATAGCAATTCATTTGCTTAGGTTTATCTCATTATGATTTCTTTTAATCTTTTTTGTCACACCCCCAAACCAAGGATGGCGGAAACGTCCGGGGGTGGCGGACTTCATGTATAGTATCGTAACTACGAGTATAATAGTGATCAAAGGAATACAACCAATCATAAATATAATCGGAAAAGAATTACATGGTTTCAAGTGTTACATATTTCAATGATTGATTACATCATGATATAAAAATAGTTGTTCAACACCGTAGCGTTCCATCCTCAAAAGCTTGTGGTTACCTGGTTTCGTTGATTTCCTGAGAATACAAGTAGTTTTGAAAAAGTGTCAACAATTAAGTTGGTGAGTTCATAAGCTTTTTAGATGAAGAGTTTGGAAACCGATCTTTGTAATGAATTGTGTGATACCAAGAAAAATCTAATATTTTCCATACAAAAGTGATGTGTAGTCTTTAATTCCAAGACCATAAGTGTACAGTAATATCCATACTTATTGATATAAAAAGTGATTTTAAATGGACATAAAACCCTTTTTGATTTGAGAAAATCCCCGTAAACTTTATGTGTTGTTAACTCCCTATGTGAGTCGCTATAACCATACTATGACTAATGAACCTGCCACGACGTTTCTCAGGCGTCGAAAAAGATAATGACACTTGTCACCCCAGACCTGCCGGTCTAGCTGTTGCATGCAGCTCAGGTGTGGTTTGTCAAACCCAATATAGATCTATACACAACTATCACGTTCTCCCTACAAGAGACTCTGGTTATAACTACCATGAATTTTAACCCGTACTCTAGGAGTACTAAGAAGAATGTCTTACAATTTACGTTAACAAGTTTACGTGTAGTGTGCGTGAGTGTAAAACCTTTTTCTGTGGGAATAAAACCTTCCGAAATGTGTTTGTTGTGTAAATGGAAACATAAACTATACCTATTATAGTTTAACATAATTGTTTGTAATGTGTATGAAACATAAACTATACTTACCATAGTTTATCATAAGTGTTTGTAATGTAAAAGAACCTTTTTCTATGTAAGTCGAATGTATAGCAAAAACATAACTATGTTTATCATGCCTTGTCTTGTACTATTGGTAATGATGGAGGATTCTTACAAATTAGTGAGTATTTTTTGTTATATAACTATACCACAACAAGAAACACATGTAAAATATGAAATCCTCAAAGATTAACACTTTGCTCAACATGTTACAAAGTGTGATGAAAGTTATAAGCTGTTGATTTGTTTTTAACATTTCTGCACTGCCTTAGAAAAATCACAGAAACATCATACGAAGTCGAAAACTAAATCCGTAAACTCTGACAGTTTAGAAAATGTGTCTATTTTGTCCATAAATTTTATTATGATTTTTAAAAGTCTCTAACTGGTGTGAAAACGTTCATATTCACTGACTGGTCCGAATTCCTAGCTACAGTGATAGGCAGTTTTGTAAAAATCACCATAAATAGTAGACAAATCGTATGGACATGTGCAAGTAGTCATTTTAAAGGTATAAACCTGAACTATTTACACCTAATACAGTTTTGAAAACTAAAAAGTTTAAGATGTCTAAAACAGTTCGTGAATGAACATTAACTTTTCTGTTGAAAGCTGATGTTTGAGTTTAATTAAGTTGTTGGTGTTTTTACTTGTATTCCCCCCCCCCCCCCCTAAAACTTGAAGAAAGTATGAAAATGTGGGGGTATGAACTCACCTTGAGTGATTTTAGAAGATGGATGATGAAGAAAAGAAGTGTTCAACTCAAGAACACTTAGAAGATGCTTGAAGATTCGAAGATCTAACAACAAAATATGACGATATTTGTGTAAGGAACTCATGATTTGAGTGAAGAAGTGTAAGGAAATCAAGTGTGGGAAAAGATTTACTTACCAAAGGTGTGTGAAGAGCTCAAGATCAGCCTTGAATCTCGAATTCTTGGTGAGAGGAAGTGAGAGAGAATGGGTTTTGTTTTTTTGTGAAAAGTGAGTGAAATGGGAGGAGAGATAAAGATCCTTCTAGCCTTTGATCAAGATTATGGCTGGAAATGAGTGTAAAAAGGACAATGATTGACTAGGTATGGGTGAATAGTGACTGGGAATGCTCATGGAGTGGGTATGGGAGGTAACTTGTGTCCTTTCCCAAAGGATAATTCAACACTCCACCTAAATACCTCACTCACTAGATTTTATTCTTAAATAAAGATTTCCCTAAAAAATGTGCTTAATTTATAATATATGGGGTCTTATATGTCAAAATATAAGTTTGGGTGAAAATCTCACGTTAAAATAATAAAAAACGGGCTTAAAACGGAGTCGTGGTCGAAAACCGAGTGAAAAAGGGCTTCCTGCAAAGCTTCTCGGATTGGGCCGGAGGTTCGGTCCTTAGCAGCTTGGACCTGAAGGCGAAATAGGTGAAATGGGCCGAATGCGAAGGCAGGAAGCGAAGGCGAAGTGCGGTCCATCAGGGTTCGGGTCAGAAGCTTCGGGTTCGGTTCTTCAGCAGTTCGGTCCAGCAAGCTCGGTTCGGTTCTTCATGGTTTCGGTCCCTAAGGTTTCGGTTCTAATGGGCTTCGGTCCTCAGAGGTTCACCTCTAAGAGGTTCGGCCCTAAGAGGGTTCGGCCCTATTTGGCTGATTTTCGCATAAACTCCCCGTTTTGCGCAATTTTTCACCAAGTTAAGTGTCGGGATGCCCCAAATGATTATAAAAAGTTAAAAGAGATTGTGAGAGAGATTTGGGAGAGATTTTAAATAGAGAGAGAGAGAGATAGAGTGAAAGAGGTTGAGAGAGATTTCGTTTACGACCTTTTTGAGTGTTTGGCTTCGTAACGCAAGGTTTGTACATCCCGTTAAGTCTCGTTATAATTGTTATACGCCCCCGAGGGGTATGGAATAATGTTTTATCGAGTAGTTTCATCACTTGCCCTGATTAGTGTTTAGAATTTCCGAACACGTGAAACTTCTAAGCGATGCTTTGTATTAAGATGGTGCGTTGTGCAATAGTAAACATAAGGTAAACCCTAATATACAAGGGTTAATTGAGTTGAACGGTTTGACTTGTTGACTTTATTTGATTTTGACTTGACTAGAAATTAACGGTTGTCACATTTTTGTTCTTTTTCTGATCCATAACTGTTTTTGCAAATGAATCCACAAGCTTCTGTTGTGATTCCAGGATCATTTCAGCTATTTTCATCCCTATTTTCATTCGCATGGATTCAAGATCCCTTGCCATGTCCATCTTCATCATCTTTATCGTCAAAAACGCATCTCCTAACTTCTGAATCGTCGTCACCATGTCCATCCATCATATGACTTTCATCGTTCTCCATGTCCTTTCCTATCTTCATCCCTTCACCACAACCACTGCCATGTTTTATATTCATCTCACTTCCAAAAGTTTCCTTCACAAACCCATCTCTTGATCGCTTACCTGACCTGTAATGTGGGTTCACCGGTGGCGGGTATTCATCAAATGATGTATTAGGGCGGAGTAACGGCGGCGATATTTGGGCTTTTGATCCGAACGTCATTTCCCTTTCTTTTTCCGACAACAACATTGTTATTGATTAAACCCTAATACTGTCAATTGAGAGGGAGAGCGATTGCGTGTTTGATTCTTTTAGGATAAAAGAACAATTTGTCTTCATCATCATCGCCTCCTCCATCTACTTTATCTTTCTCTTGATTGATTGGATCTACATCTTAAGAAGAAATACCCAACTCCATCACATCCATTTTATTTAAAGTAAACCTACGGCGATGGATAACGGTGTCCCCTTAGTGTGTTCGCAATTTGTTGGATCTCCTCACGATAATGTTTTCTGAGCTTCTCCATCTTGTGGTGCCACTGAATCGAGGTTTTAGGTGGGTCGCTTAACGGGAACCGGACTGCGACACCATTGGCGACCTCTTGCCACTGGGAGGCACGGAGGCTACCTCGCTGAGAAAGTACCACTTATCATGATACACATCGATCAGTGTCGCCGTCTCATCGTGGGACCAACATAGAGGAGGGAGGCGGCATCTTGATTAAAACTTGTTAGGGGTTGGCTGATGGGTTCTTGTAATCACATGCGACCTTGTTCTGCAAAATTGTTGGTTTTGTCAACTACATGTTAAATGGAAAAGTGGGTTCGGGAAGATCACGATACGAAATTTACACTTTGGTCCCCAGAGTTGTAGAAATGTGGCAGTTTTGGTCGTGTAATTTAAATCATAGATGGTAAGGGACCAACTACAAAAGAAATTTAAACCATAAGGGTCATTCATGTAATTTAGAATAACTGTTTAACGGAGGAATGGTTCAAAACTAACGATAATGGTATGTACGGTAACAGTTAGATAACCTACTGCACAAAAAAAAAAACATAATTGGTCAAATCGGACAAAACACATAAGTTCATTGTGCTACAGTGATCTTTTCCTTTTTTACTCATGTTAGAAAAAAAAATCATAATTATTGAAAGTAAATTTTAATTATATATAAATGTTGTATTAAAATTTAAAATAAATAATCAACTAAAATGATATTGATGATGGAGTGATTATTTCTTAAGGTTGTGAATGTGAAAAGAAGTAGAGTGTGAATGCACTCATAGAGTGGTTTGGTGACCACTCATGATACGCTTATATTCTCTAAAAAAAGGGTCTCCGCACTCCAGTGTTTTTGTCAGGACCTAGGAATCTCGTTGAATTATCTAAAGAACAAAATACTTTAGTATAAAACAAATATTACTAAATAGACATTTACGTAATTTCCTCAAACACTAGAAATATTGATAAACCTTCAAGTGATTGATGTTCATGAGGTGAAGGAGCACACGAGTCACTTAACTTGAGATCTGATGGGTGACAGTCCGACGATGTTGAACTTAAGCAAGCTATTTCGACCTCGCCGGAATAAGTTTGACGAACTATCTGAAGACGATCAACTCTGCGCATTCCTTGCAACGTTTCCTACCAAACTTCAATATACAAAACCTGAGTTTTACTTTATATTATGGGTCTTTTGGAGCCAACAAGAAGGATCTCAAAACAATATATCTTCCGGTGAGTCCCCTTTATATTCAATTTCAGTTTCTCTCAAATATTATAACAGCTGTAGATTAAACAGGAGACCCTGGCCAATGGTTGATTCACGACAAGATTAAATCATCGTTTTATAAGTTTGAATTGACTCTGTATGACTTTGATGGGATAATTCAGTTTTGGGCGCCAGTAAACACCGCCGGCAGACGTTCCCTTACAACATCTGATCAACCTTTTGCCATTAACTATCTTAACACTGGTCTCGATAAATTTAGGCTATCTTCTCTCAAGTATCGGTATAATATTGATGTGAATAAGCATGATGTAGAAGACGACCCAATGATCATTACTGGTGCACCAGCCAGCGCGTTCCTGAACCAATTGCCGGAGATAGTTCTTGATCTGAAAGCTCACCAGGGGTGTCCACTGGTTCGCTCAGCTATGGAGTGCGAATTGTTGGCTTATATTGTGCTTCCAATTTGTGATCCTTCTCAGAACTGCTGTGTTGGTGTTGTTGAGTGTCTTATGAAGCGCTCTGATTGCTCTCTTGTGATTTTCAATCAGTTGAATCAGGCACTGGAGGTTTGTATTTCTTACGTCTATTACAATCTCAAAGCAATTGCTTCAGTGTTCAATCCCAGTACTTTCAGTCGTCTAACTTTATAAGAATTTCATTTTCTCTTACATCAAGATGTGATTGCGTGATAAAAGTAAACGATATGCTAATTTTTATCGATCTAAGTTGCTACTTGTATTTGCAGAAAGTGGGTCTGAGTACGTTTGATGTACGAGAATGTCTGCCATACAAAGTAAGGTTTCTATGTGAATGTGATTTTTTGTCGTTGAAAATTATGGTCAGAGTAGTTTTGAGTGTATTAGAATCTTGCATAAAGTAGAAAGGTGTTATCAATTCTTTGAAATTAACTTTATACATGGAAACAGAGTATACAAGGTCTCAAGCATGCAAAGAAAGACATTGAAGAGGCGCTGAAGATTATTTATGAATCTCATAACTTGGGTCTTGCTCAAGTTTGGGTCCCATATGAAGATGAGAAACATGTGGGTTTTTCTTCTCAAACCAACCGAACTTTTGCACTCAAATTAACCGGTTTAAATAATGGATGTCTTGATTGGTCTTACAACTATTATCATAATGCTTGTAATATGCTTGCTCTAAGAATAGGGGATGGACTTGCTGGAAAGACTCTTGAAAACCACGAACCACACTTCTGTAGAGATATCTCTAAATTAAGTAATACTGACCTACTAGTGTCATTCACAGCAGATACTAAATGTAGTTGCTTTGGGATATGCTTAAGGAGCATTGACACTAGTGATTTTTATTATGTCTTTGAATTCTTGTGGCCTAGAAATCGAAACTATGTTATCTTGATCGAGTCGCTAGTGTTAACATTAAAGAGGTGTTTACCAAATTTCAAGCTTGCTTTTGGACCGGAACTTGGTGATGAATTGAGAATTATAGATGTGGAGAATTCTACTGGAAGTAAATTTGGACACTTTAAAATTTTCAAAGGAAACAAATTATCACGAATACCATTGGAATGCATGCCAAATGAAGCCAAATTCAAGACAACTGTGATTGAATTACCTCGAAAGGAAATCGAGCAACAATTTGGAACAACCATGAAAAAAGCTGCAAAATCGCTTAAAGGTAATGACAATCTTATTTCCAAACTACAACTTGGTTTACAGAATTCATGAGCCATTTGGATACAATATAATTAACAAATTTGTTCTCATCGTTGTGTTACAGTTTCTTTGTCTACATTAAAACGCAAGTGCAAGGTTCTTGGAATTTACGAGTGGCCAGGACCAAAGTTTGTGAAGAGAAAGGTAAATGATTCTAGCAAGGATCAAAGTGACATGAATGAAGAAGATACCGGAGCAATTGTAGACCCCTCGGCTGTCAAGGGAGATATTAATTTTGATGAAAATACTTTGAATATTAAAGTAGAGTATGCTGATGATATAATTAAATTACATCTTCCGCTCTTACTAGTAACATTTATAGCTCTTGACAAGGAAATTGGCAAGAAGTTGAAACTGAATCATGGGAGTTTTAAGCTCAAGTATCTTGATGAAGATGGAGATTGGATTTTATTGGGTTCTGAGCAAGACATGAAGTATTGTATAAGAAGTTCAAAAAAATTAGATAGCATTGCAATTCGACTACGTGTGCTACCATGTGTACATAATAAATATGTAGCTTAAATGGCTGTAATCAAGTTTTGGTTATCTTTCCTAGAAGAAAGATTATTACGATAACCAAAACTTCATATCTTTCCTAGAAGAAAAATCAGAACCCAAATAAATATGTAGCTTAAATGGCTGTAACAAAACACAATGAATTTAAAGGCTAAATTACGATAACCAAAACTTCATGTCTTGCTCAGAACCCAATTAAAGGAAACAATTACTTCTTCTTGATAGAACGAACTGTTAGACCTAAATTTCTATGGTGAGCCTTTTGCTCTTATGAACGATTTTTCATCTGATTTTGTTTCCATGTTTGACGTAACTTTGGTCGAGAGTATCGATTCAGAGTGATTTGTTACGATTTTGACGAAATTGCTTCTAAATCTCGGTGATTTCTACGATTTTTGTTCCTAAATTCATTGTGTTTTGTTCGTCGATTCTTATAGAAGAAGTAATTGCATCTTCGTCGAAGAAGTTAGGTCTAACAGTTCGTTCTATCAAAAGGTAAAAATCTTCACTTTGTTTAACTTTTTTTTATTATTAAACACTTGCATTTGTATTTATTTCATCTATCCTAGTAATAGAATCAGTTATTTAACGTTTTGAGTTTGAAAGGAGTTAGGTTTAACATATTGTTCATCAAAAAAGTTAAAATTGTCACTTTGCATAACTTATTTTGATCATTAAACGTTGATGCTTGCATTGTAACTGCATTTATGAAGTATAAATCGAAAGTTTTAAGTTCGAAAGGAGTTAGGTTTAACATATTGTTTATTGAAAAAGTAAAAATTGTCACTTTGCATAACTTAATTTGATCATTAAACGTCAATTCTTGCATTGTAACTACATTTATGAAGTATTAATAGAAATTATTTAGTATGAAGCTAATAATTGTGATTTATGCTTGCAGAAAAACCTAAAACATTCAAAAAAAATCATGTGATTAGTATATGTTTAAAGTCTTATTATTTCAATCACATGTGATTAATATCTTTTATTAACAGTTTATGCTTAACTATTATAGAAACAGATCATTGAGAAAATCACATCTGATTGATATGTGTTATAAACTATAATACAATGCTTTAAATCATATATGATTATATAAGTTATAATCTTAAATGTTTTAGTCATATATTATTAAAATCATATGTGATTACTATGTTTCATATACATAAATACATTCAATCATAATTGATTAGCATATGTTATGAACATTTACGTTTTATATTATAGTGTTTTAAATTATATATTATTAATATGTGTTATAATAATAAATGTTTATGATGTTAATAACAGGTTCTGTTGTTTGACAATGTCTTTTATAAGCGATAGTGTGAATTTTTTTATAAATGAAGATCAAATTAGTATTTTGTTGAGAGTATTAAAGATGTTGATGCAGATGTTGAACATTTAAGTCATCAAAACCATAACTACAATGTTTCAGGTAAATTTTATTTTAAATACTTATTTAATTAGTTATGATTACATAAGTAATTCATTTTTTTAATTATGGATGTATTTAGAATTGAATTTGTTTTGTTAATCTTATGTGATTATTCATTAGTTTTTTAATAATTCTATTTAATATAGTCTTAATCATATATGATTATCCATTTTTTGATATTTAAACAACTATTTGATGGGTTCGAGCCATAAGAACTTTCCTATGTGCATATGCAAACCCTAATGTTTGGATCTAGGTTTCTCTATTGAACATGCAATTTATCCAAGTCTTGCAAACACTAGATCTAGTGTATACAATTCGAATTTGACATAAGAAACTCAGATCTAGATGATTACCTCTTGTAGCTTGCTTGATTCTTCTTGTCTTGGAGCTTAGAGTCACAATTGTCACTCCTCTAATGGCTTACAAACACCAACTAGCAAGAGGATGATTTGGAGAGAGGAGAGAGGTATGAAATCGGCCCTAGGGTTCCAAGGAAGCAAGTGTAGCCGATTTCCACAACCCAAGGGGTCTATTTATACTGTGAGCTTCTAGGGTTTCAGCCAAAACCCTAATGGACAACTTAATCACCAAGCAGCCCATGGAACCTTCTGGATTAAGGTCATGGATGAAAATATGATGGACTCCCATCATAATTTCGTTCACCCCTTGCTCCATTGGGTTTCCCAGCCCAATAACTCAATTATCCAATAATTGCAGTTCAGTCCCCTATATTCAATTAATATCTTTTAGTCACCAAATTAATTCTTAATTAATCTATGACTAATATTAATTAAAGAATATGATTATTCCTTTAATATATTATTCTCATAATATATTAATAAATCATAATATCTTCTCTCTCTTCATAAATCACCCTGTCAAGTTGCTATGGTGAAGGCAACCCAAAAGGACCATGCACAACCGGGTCAAGTACTTACCAAATATAGTTACGGGCTTAGACACTAATCCAACAGTCTCCCACTTGGATAAGTCTAGTAACTACAAATGCAAGCCTAATCTGATTAGCAATCGTAGCTCTCAAAGACGCTGTCGAACTCTGATCTTATCAGTAACCTGTCCTTTAGATAATGGATCGTATAATCCTCTGTTCTTGATATCGTGCAGACAATTACATGGAACATTGTCATACTCATTGTCCAGCAATTAGTTTCTTGATCTCAGATTCATTTGACATAGAACTTAATTGAACACATCAATTCAGTCCTGACCGGGCCCGACACATAAGTCAAATCAAATCATCGAGGGACCCTGATATCGCTTTTACCCTCTTAGGATAAAAGGAACAGATAAACTTTGACTTATATGCATTTACTATCCACTAATCAAAACATACACAACAATGCGTTTTATAACATCAAGTTACTGATGCATTTACGCATTATCAATGCACAACCAATCAGCAAACAATAAACCATATATCTAGGTTTCAAGACCATATGATATTATCATCTTGCGATCACTCGTGATAAATTCCATGAAGTGATTCCAGAAAGTGTGGGTTTATTCCAATGCTCAAATCAAGTTCATAAGCACTCATGAACGTTGCAGCAAACTATTGCTATGTCTAATACATTTTAGACAATCTACACACCAATTCATGACAGTCTTCATTCATACCTACTTCCAACATATGAACGACTGTGGACGGTTCGAATAATTTGATTATTATCAAATAATTCAATTATTCAGGAAGTCAAAACATGCAAAATGAAACAATAGGTAAATGATTAACATAAGACAGTAACATTACTAATAAATAATACTCTTTTATTTAATCATCAAATGTTAATTACAATTTATCTATTACATGTTTCTAAACTATCTAATCTAAACTAATATCGTCCTTCAGCCCGATGCTCCTATCGTGCTGCAAGTGCTTAACCCTGCTCAGTCCCTTCGTAAGCGGATCTGTTGGGTTATCCTCTGACGATACCCTTTTTACTACGAGGAGTCCTTCTTCCACCTGATGTCGAATAAAGTGATTTTTTTGTCGATATGTCGAGATCTGCCATGATCCCTAGGTTCCTTGGTCAAGGCAACCGCTCCTTCATTATCACAGAAAATTTCCATGGGCTCCTTTAAGGCTGGCACAACTCCAAGGTCTCCAATGAAGTTCTTCAACCATATTGCCTCCTTTGACGCTTCGCTTGCTGCGATGTAATCTGATTCGCACATTGAATCAGTTACGGTCTCCTGTTTGGAACTTTTCCAAGTCATTGCACCTCCATTAAGGGTAAAGACCCAGCCCCACTGCGAACGGTAGTTATCTCTGTCGGTCTGAAAACTGGCGTCACTGTACCCTTGCACCTTTAAGTCATCACTCCCCCCGAGGACTAGAAACCATTCCTTGGTCCTCCGAAGGTACTTAAGAATATTCTTGACTGCGATCCAATGTGCTTTGCCAGGGTTCCCTTGATATCTGCTGACCATGCTCAAAGCGAAGGCCACATCAGGGCGAGTACAAGTCATAGCATACATGATTGAGCCAACTGCGGAAGCGTAAGGTACTCGGCTCATCTCTGCTATCTCGACTTCAGTACTCGGACTCTGAGTCTTACTCAACTTGGCATTACTTTGGATTGGTAATTCCCCTTTCTTTGAGTTCTCCATACTAAAACGTTTTAGTACCTTGTCCAAATAAGTATTCTGACTAAGTTCTATCAGTCTCTTACTTCTGTTTCTCACTATCCTTATTCCCAGAATATAGGAAGCCTCTCTGAGGTCCTTCATAGCGAAGCACTTCCCGAGCCAGGACTTAACTTCTTGCAGTGTCGGGATGTCGTTTCCTATGAGTAGTATGTCGTCGACATACAATACGAGGAAGCTAACTATACTCCCACTGGCTTTGACATACACACATGATTCATCCTCGCTTCGCAGAAAACCAAACTCTTTGACCTTCTCACCAAAACAAAGATTCCATCTGTGAGACACTTGCTTAAGTCCATAAATAGACTTCTCAAGCTTACACACTCTAATGAGATGCTTCGCATTGACAAAACCCTCTGGCTGAGCCATGTAAACATCCTCAGCCAACTTCCCATTAAGGAAAGCGGTTTTGACATCCATTTGCCATATTTCATAGTCATGAAATGCGGCAATGGCCAGCATCACCCTGATAGACTTTATCTTTGCAACTGGTGAGAAGGTTTCATCGTAGTCAACTTCAGGAGTTTGAGTGAAACCCTTCGCAACCAATCGCGTCTTATAAGTGTGCACATTTCCATCCACGTCACTCTTCTTCTTGAAGATCCACTTGCACCCGACCGTCTTACGACCTGGTACATTGTCAACCAAATTCCAAACTTGGTTGTCATACATGGACTGAATCTTGTTGTCCATAGCCTCTTTCCATTTTGCAGACTCCGGGCCTGCCATGGCTTCCTTATAGCTGTTAGGTTCGTCCAGATTCACTAGTGTACTATCACTAATGAACGTATCCCCTTCTGTGGTAATATGAAAACCATAAAACTGCGGTGGAACACTAACCCTTTTGGAACGTCTAAGAGGTAAGGACTCGTCAATTGGTTCAACCGGAGATTCC